CTTGTAAATTAACACTCGTGCACTTACAGTTGCTACCGCGATTAATCAATTTTCTCGTCGGGAAAGTTAATTTATAATGTTAAACATTTTCACATTTTCGTATTTGAACAAAATTGATTGCGTAAATTTCTAGTTACTTTGCGACATAAGAATGAGCCTTTACACCGTGAGTTGCAACTTAGAGGTAAGACTTCGTAACTTAACGTAGTCGATCACGAACATTTGTAAACTTCGTAAAGTTTATAAACTTATACTTTTTACAGTGTGCGTGCAGCACAAACACGTTGTGTAATCCTAAATGCCAGAAATCCCCTCTAAAACCAGTATACTGACGATTGTGTCGTTGTTGCAGCGCAGGCGCAGGGCAGCTCCTCGCGACAACCCTGCTCTGCAGGTGCCGCCTGCCTGCCCTGCGCTGCACTCCTCTCCCACGGTGCTGGCCGCGGGCCTGCGCGCGGGCGCGGGGGCAGCGCACCTCAATCCTGTTTCGGTCGAGCCGCCGCTCGGCTCGGCTCGGCTCGGCTCCGAGGCAGCAGACGACACGTCTTGAACTTGATCTTCGCAGGGAGTGCCGCTGCCGCGCGCTAGCCGGCCTGCCCAGCCTGCGAGTGACAGTGTCGGGCAGGTTTAGAGAGCCGGTTCTCCCCCCCCCCCTCCCCTTCCTCCTGCTCCTTCTCCCCGTCCGCGGGCCAAAAGGGTCGTGGACCTCCTTCCTTGCAGCCCAGCGTGTGTATCCCGGCACGATCTCGGCGGCCTTGAGAGGCAGGTCCGCCGGGTCGGCCCCGCGCTGCAGCGCTCACTCCGACCACATGCCCTACGCCGGCCGGGCGAATAGCCCAGCCTGACCACTCTCGTGAGAATGTCCGTGCGCTCCACGCCTCTCAGCCGATTTCATTCGCAACTTCTGTCAATTGTGTTGGCGCATTTTGAGGACACTGCGAGCAATGTGGAAGAAAGTACCGCATTTATGTCATTTAATTTATTTTTCCGGCATTTTTTCACGTTGATTTTTTTCTGGAGTTCCCAAAAAAATGTCACTGTGTCTTTTGGCGTAATTCCCCATGACGTGTCATGGAAATGACTACTAGCGGGTGGTGTTTGCATGGGATTTATTTGAACTTATAGACAGAGACAACAATAACAATACTGTAACGACAACAACATATGGTAGGTGGTGCTCGTGGCTGATAGCGCGCCGAGACCGCTCCTGTTACCGACTGCTGACCGCTCGTCGCGGTGGTCCGGAGCTAGGCTCCGTTCCACGCGGAGCGCCACCTGGCGGTGGCTGGCCGGACTGCTCGATAGCAGCCGACACAGCACCCCACACTGTCAAAGAATGGTTATGGCACCGTGCTTTGGCGGAAGAACGGGCTCTAGTGCTGGCTCGGGTAAGTGGGTGACGGCTAGGTGGTGTGCTGAAGTGTGGGACGCACGCACGTGTGCACAGCTGCACCGTGGCCGATGACAGGACCCCTTTCTCCCCTTGACAGGCACGGTTTTCCAGGGTGTGGGTGTGCAGCGACTTAATAGTCAGTCCTGTGACGCCTCCTGAAACGGACACGTAGTTCATCGCTGGCCCTTGTCTTGGTGGTGCGGCAGCGGAAGTAGTGCTGCTTTGTGCCGAGTTCATCTTGGCACCAATAGTAAGTACTTCGCGGCACTCGATACGGGGTGCGGGGCGGGGCCGCTCATCGTACGAGCACCTGTCGGCCACGGACCGGGCGCTTCTCTTAGCTGCGCAGCGGCCGTATGGGCCATCAGGGTGACAACGCGCGGGACACGGAGCGTCCGCCGAGTGCCGGCCCCACCGAGTACCGGCCGCACCGCACCACGCCACGCCCTACGTGACCGCAGGGTTCGAGTCCTGCGCTGTTGGCAGGCACGTAATGAGCTGATAAGGGGACCCTCCGCGTCTGGGGTGGACGCCGTTATCAGCGGCCGCCGCCGGCCAGCAGCTGACCGGGCCCGCCGGCCGGCCCGCCTCGCCGAGTGTCAAGTAGTGCCGCCGGCGGTGGAGGCGGCGGGGCCGCCGGCCGCCGGGCGCGTGGCGACAACGTGGACGCGGACGCGGACGCGTCCTGCCGGGTACTAGAGTCCGGGTACTACCCTCCCGCCTATCGTGCCACACCAAGAAGAGCAATTGTTTGCCGTAAAGAATTTGTATTTACCTTAACGAAAATTTCTTAGCAGAAATCAAAGAAACGTTTTTAATCGTTAAGGATGACGAAAATGTTCATTCCGTCCAACGTTTTTTTTTTTTGTTTTTTTTTTTTCAACTTAAAAAATATGCTTGTGAAAAAAAATCGTTGAGCAAACGATTTCTTTTTTTTACAACTAAAATTTCATTGGTTTTAGCAACGACAAAATTTCGTTGTTAGAAAGATATGGTTTTCTGGGTGCAGGGAAACTGAAGGACCCCGTCTTACCTGTGTTGTATTGCCACCCCGCCTTCTAGCTTGAATGATCTTGGGTGATCAATCCCCCGCCCACCTTGAGACTTCCTTCGCGAGTGAATCGGGGTTTTCTATTTAGCCGATATTTTTCAGACATGTTCACACAGTTCGAAAGTGGTAAGAGGGGTTTTCGAGGCCGCGATAAGGGGGACGCCGACGCTTTCCCTTGAGCGTGACGTGGTGACGTGTCTTTGGTGCGCCCCGCGCCGCGCCGGGTGCAGCTCATCCAGCGGCGGATGAATGGGCACGCTCTATGGGGCGCGGAGGCAGGTAGCACCTGGTCGCCAGACGGCGGGGGAGGCGGGCCGGGCGCGGGCGAGTGTACAGCGCGCAGCAGCACGTGCGCACCGGCGGCGACGGCGGCCCGGGAAAGGGTCCGGGGTGGGCGGCCGCGGCCGACAGGGCGTGGGCGTGGGCGGACCAGATCAGGTGACCAGGTGGTGGGCGCCGCGTGCGGCTGCTGCGGGGCGGGCGCGGCCACACACCCGCGGGGAAGTCGGCAGCTGCGGCCCTTGAGCCGGGGAAAGGCCGCGGGGATCGGCGGGGTAGCCCTATGGACGGCGCGTGCGGGGAACCCAGATATCACACATCCCTCGCCCCTGGGGTACTTCGCTATAAATTCAAACGTACAGCGTAAACCAATTGTTTCGTGTTTTTTTTTGGTTTTTTTTCCTTTTTTGCTTATTTTCTCCGATTTTCTGATTTTAAATTGATTTCAACTGTTTGTTGTTTTTTTTTCGCCTTTTGTCTGGACTGTAGGTTTTTAGTCTAAGTTGGTCTAAGTACTCCTTGCCCGCGTCCTTGCCCCTGCCCGGTAACGCCAAATACTTAAAGTTATCCTTTTGTTGTTGCTCGATACCCAGATTGCGGAATTCCTTCATAAACTCTACCAGAGGCTCTCCCAATAAAGTGAACCGAATCACATCCGGATATACACTCGGTTTCTTTTTCACTCGTGACTCAGAGGCGACGAGTAGCTCGCACCACCTCGCCGTCTCCGGGCGGTCGTCCCCCCCGCCCGGCCCTACCATATCCCTCCCCCGCTCCCACAATCACTTCCTGCCCATTATCAGCGAGGTCATAAATGGTCCTAATGTAGGTCGCGCCTGCCCGCGGCCTGGCCGGCTCGGGCCGCGCACGTCACCGGCCCACCTCTCGTCGCCGAGCACGTGCTCGACGCGGCGCGCACCGCGACCATGGCGAGCAAGAGCTATATACGCCGACCATTTACTATCGTCATTATTGTCACATTGGTGGCCGGAATCGTATAACGGTGTGTGTGGTTCTACCGTACCGGGTGCATCGGAGGGGACGCTGCAATGTTGGAGGTCTGCCTACTCCCTCCGCCCGTAAACGCGCCCCCATGGCCCGCGTGGCCCAGGAAGATGGCATGCTTGCAACATCCCGCGCAACACCCGGTACACCCGGTACACCCGGCACAGCGTTCAAATCTCACACCTGGCCTCCCCGTTGCCGGGGCGGATGGCGTGGGAGCTGCTCCCCTCTCCATATCACTCTCACCCCGGCGCCGCTTTCACTGCTGCTGATCGCCTTCCTCTCTCGCTCACCGACGCGCACTGACCGTACTGTACGCGGCGCGGGCGCGTCCCGTCCTGTCCTGACCAGACTGCCGCATTCGCTTTCTCAATCAAGGTCGCCACCACCGCCTCCCCTTTTCTCGCAGTGTCGTTACACAGGCTTCATATAACGGAGTACAAAAACCTCTGGAACAACCATATTAGCAGAGGATTTCCTTCATATTTTAAAATGAGTCCCCGCAAGTCCTTTTGAACGCTTACGAAGAGCAGTTTTTGGAAGAACTTAGTCTCCCCCTCCCTTTTCCCTCTTCACTGGAAAAAAAAATCAACAACAAAAAACAAAACAACACCCACACACACAATCTCTCCGTTGCTCTTACCGCTCTTGTCACGATGTTACGGCCGCCGTTTTCTGGCTGTTTATCGCCCTCGCTCCTGCGTGCCTCGCGCGCCCCGAGGCTTTCCCTCATGTCGCCCTAATCTCACGGGGCGCCCTGACGGCGTCCTGGTGGCGCCCGAGCGGGGTTACAACTCCCTCGTCTCGCTTGGTAATCCCTGGGCGCGTGCCTCTCGCCTAGTCAGCCGTCCTACTCCGCGTATCTCACCGAGCGCATCTCGACGAGGTTATTTAATCCAAATTGTGAAGTCTTTCATGATTTAATTGCGACCTTGTGGTTTCTCTAATGAATCGTCGGTAGGTATGCCAATGTTTTGCGGGTCGTATATCCAGTCCACGTGACCCTCGCGCTTATTGCGGACCGCGACTGTGTCCTTACATCAATAAATCATCTGGAAATCCAGGAGGAAAAGTGTCGGAAAAATTGTAAAAAAAAATTCAGTAATAAAACAATTTGAGACTTTTAGTGTTATAAATATGTTTTAATAAATAGCATAAATTAATTGTGGGAGAAAGGGTAGGAGGATTTTCCTCCTATAGTCTTGGGGAATGTATAAAAAGAGAGGCAGAGGGGCATTGTTGAGGGTATTAAAAAGCCAGATCACCAACATTCACAAGAAAAGAGGAATTATCTTGCTTTTCTATTAACGATCGAGAAGTAAAACCAGTCCAACCCTGAAAATGCTAGAGTCAGATATATTGCTCTCGGGAGATCAGTGACACACAAAAATCGCACTCCTGAGAGCGAGATATCTGACTCTCACTCAATTTGAGTCATAATTTGCGGTCCTCACCCAATGAGAGTGAGGTTCCTCACCACTATTGGTCGAGGAGAGAATTCTTACTCCTTCAGAGTGAGAGTTCGGTGCATATGACTCAAATAGGGTGAGCCTTATGGTCATCGCTCTGATTGAGCGAGGCAAAATTTGTCTCACTCATTACTCAAAGGTTTTCAGTCAAGTAAGGGAAAATTGGCTAATTTATATGAACCTACGGGAATCGAGCGAAAGACCAGAGGAATACTTCTCTATTTTACACCTATCTCTGACAAAACAGAAGTGATTACTGTACGCGGGATAGCGAGAATGTTCACGTTTTCCGTCAAGAAGTGAGGCCTTGGGGTGCCTCACTCCGTGAGGTCGAAGGGGAGCCGTCGAGGGAGGGCCTACCCGGCGATAGCCGCACAGCCCGTTGGGCCCAAGGGTAGGCCAGTGCGAGCCTGGCCGAGCTCCTCCACGACGTTGCTGATGACAGCCATGCCCTTGTGCTCCCGGGAGAGGTCCGCGTCGCCCCAGCCCCAGACGGGCCGGGTGCCGTCGCCCGTGCGCACGGAGCGCGCGTTGATCATGTCCTTGTTGACCGTCTTGAGGTCCGTCGCCTGGCCGATCGCTGCCAGGAAGTCGATGCACATGCCGGCCGGGTTGGTCACGTAGTTGCCAATCTCGGACGCCTGGTAGTCCCAGGGGAAGACGTGGTGGTAGTTGTGGTAGCCCTCGCCTCCGACGATGAAGCTCACCAGGGGGTTCTCACGGGCGGCGATGGTCCTGTCGGGGGGAAACGGATGACAGCCATCAAACAACCGAAAGACAAAATACGTTTATTCGGACCTGTTTAAAACGATCCAATCGGGAATAAAAGACGCCGTGAACGCAGTTTCCCGTGACGTAAAAGGGTACAAGACCCCTGACAAGCATCGGGTAGGCCTGCCCGCCCGACAGGCGTGCGCGCGGGCGGCGCCGCCTGCCTACCCACACGGCGCCCTGTCCCTGTCAGACTCGAGGGCAACACGATACGAGTCGTGGGGAGGTCGTTCTTCTTTGCTCTCCTTCAGGCCTCCTTGGTTTAATACTCACGCGTCATACGGGCGGGACCCGAACGCGTGGGCGGCCGAGTTGACGAGGAACGTGGCGTTCAGGCCGACCACGAAGCGGAGGACCACGGCGACCAGGAAGGCGTTGGTGTGCGTCTCGCCCCACGCGTACATCGGCACGGCCACAGGTATCAGGTAGAACATGAACGGCCAGACGGCGTAGTAGTACCTGCGCGAATGGACGGGACGGATGAGTAAGCAGGCTAACACAATGCGCCCTTCAAATCACTAAAATGAACTGCTGCACTCTGAACGCCGGGGTCAACGCGCTTTGCCAAAATGTTGACATTTGTTTGAAAGACTACAAATGTTTTGGTCACACGGCCACGGCGTTTTGAGTGTCGGAATCCGGGTGTTATCCGGAAGTCTGGAAGATCGGACCCCAAAAAAGCACCATATCATGCTGGTGCACTGCAAAATTCTTGCAAAGAATTTTGAAGCGTTGTAAGGAAGTTTGCCATGCGAACTGTTTTCTTTGCATAGGAAAATATTTTATTCGCAAGTTGCAATGTTACAAACTAATTCTTTGCAGCGTTATACGAACAATTTTCTTCGTAAGGTGCGAAGAACTAGTTAGCAATGTGAAGGATTTAGTTCGCAATGCATAGAATAGTTCTTCGCAAGCTTTTTTACAGTACGCCTACTTACTTGTGCTGGTAGTACACCACTGGGTCGGCGATCATGTCGCTCATGTCGACCATCTTGCCGTACTTGGCCACGTCGGGGTGCTTCTTCATCAACAGCCAGCCTATGTGCGAGAAGAAAAAGCCCCTGCGGGCGTTGACGTGGTCGGCGTCCGTCTCGACGAACTTGTGGTGCGTGCGGTGGTCGACGGACCAGCGGAAGATAGAGCCCTGCGTGTGGACGGGGTGAATAAGTGCGTGAGCTCGACGCCAGTCTCCCAGGGGTGCACCCGGGCGCACCCTCACGGAAAAAAAAGATTCGCTGAGTCAGCTAATATATTGACTGGTATCTGGACAGACAAGCACATAAACTTCTGTAACCACTATATTGTCTACTCTAATCAATCATTGGCTGTGCCAATCAAAAATTAGCTGTAAGAGCTTATCCCTTACCTAAATCAGTCGAGGTCTACCTTACTGGTGCAGGCAAATCATTATTTCATACAGCTAATCATTGACTGACACAGCCAATGATTGATTAGGGTAGCCAATATAGTGGTTACGGAAGTTTATGTGCTTGTCTGTCCAGATACCAGTCAATATATTAGCTGACCCAGCGAATCTTTTTTTTTCCGTGCTGCCATGCTCACGGCGGGGGGATCGGAAGACTCGACTCACCTGCCAGGAGATGACCTGCATCAGGGCTAGCGCGATCCTGGTGGGCAGCTTCGCCCGGAAGGTGCGATGGCTCCACAACCGGTGGGCGCCCACGAGGATGCCCATGCTGCCCAGGAAGAACAGGACGCCGGCTGCGGAAAAGAGAACGCGGTGATGACGCTGAGGTCGAGGAATGTAATTGCGTGCACACACACACACACACACACACACACACACAAAATTTTCATGTTCTAGCCAAATTTAAGTATTTCTATTTTACATCCATTTTTTAACTTTCATCTCCATTCCCAGATGACTCTACTCAAACTAAAAATATTACGAAGAGGGCTCTTTGGATTTGCGAAGTAAAGTTTTCTACTTTCAATTGTTTTTTGTGTCAGATCGCTTTCCTGAGTGCGCTTACCCCATGCCAACGTCAGCAGCTTGACTTCGCCGCTGAAGACGAGCGTCAAGGTGTAGATGGCCGTGAGGTGGACGAGGGCGTGGGCCACCACCCGGTCCCACAGGATGGGCTGCAGTTCGCGGTACGACTTTGGCGGAGTCTTGGCGGCGTCCTGGGCGATGACCCGGGTGTAGTCCGGGACCTCTTCGTGCTCGTACAGCACCCCGCTGGTAACATCCTTGACGTTGGGTGCCATGTGGACGTCTGTCGTCTCGTGAGCCGGCGGACTGAGCGCTGCGGGCGAGCCCTGCTATATGGGTTAAAGCTGCGAGCTCGAGTTTGAGCTGACGTCTCCCTCCCTCCCTCGTACCCCTCGCAGGCCTTATATCTGCCCCAAACATGCAGAAACCCCTCGTTGTGCGTACCCCGCCCTCCCCCCTTCCCCTGATTAGCCTGGTGGTCGCCCTCATTAGAGTTTCGGCAAGGGGTCACCGACTCACCTATGACCCGTGTTCTGAGTGTTGTGGGTATGACTTGTCGATTTACTGGGTAAATTGAAATATTGTGGCGGGATTATGAAAAAGTAAGGAGTATTATCAGGTACACTGTAGATTGCTTACGAACAGCATGTCCGTACTGCAATCCTAAACCATCGTAGTTCAGGAAGGATTTTAAAGCGCAGTATTACGAATTAATTATTTGTAAGCTTACGAGCAAATAGTTCGTAATGCTAACCGCTTGTTCGTAAGAACCTTCCAGGCATTACACTGGAAAAACAAATGTGACGTGCAGCACGTTTCCTGATGCACTCTTCCTGTGACGCCCTTATCTTTTTGTATGGAGTGGGAGAGCATCAAGAAACGTTCTCTTCTGCGAGTGCACCATAAAACGTGACGCACGTCACGTTTGTTTTTCCAGTGCAATTGATACGCTAGGCAAAAAATTCTTTTGCAATACATAAAAATGAAAATTGTTCGTAACGTTGCAAATTATTTCGTTCGTAAGCAAGCATTGTACTGTGTATCATGGGGAACATTATACGGTATTACACGATGGGGTCTTTCGTCGGTTATTCTGAAGTATTACGACGGTATTATGGGCCCCGTGAACGGAGTATTTTGTGAGTCGGTGACCCCCCCCCCTTATGTCAAATCGACGGAGAATCTACGTGAGTGCCCAGTCTACGTGCACTGATAAACTAAGTGTTCAACTGCTCAACACTTCCAAGTGTGCAACTGAAAGTCAAATACTTGCACGTGTGCAACTGCAAGTTGAATACTTTCACTGAATACTTTCACACCTACCGAGTTTAACACTTGCAAGTGTACGATTACGGTGTTGCACACTTGCAAGTATTCTACTTACAGTTGCACACTTACAAGTGTTGAGCAGTTGAACACGTAGTTTATCAGTGTATACTGTTAAAATGCTGTAAGGAAGTACGGTTTGCGAAGTTACGGTACATCCGGTGCGAAGTGGACCATAATCCAAAATTATAGTCGCTGTCCTGATGACAAATTGACAGGGCGCACCGTCGACATTTCCTTTTGGTTTTTCTGACAGTGCGTGAATTTACGTCGACTCACGTTGACTCACGTTTTTTTCTCTTGAAGTTTTGAGTACGATGATCTAGATGCTCTTGATGAGGGAATCATATTTTAGGAAACGAACAAGATAATACGCAAGTACAATTGTTCTTGATTACAGACAAGGGTCCTTGAAATTTCGTTCTTTTAAATAATTCTATAGTTTTTCTTTCATTCATTCAATGATTCTGGATTCAATGGCTAATGACGTCAATCGCACACAGGTCACCGAGACCCTTCTCGTCTTTCGTGTAAACTCATTGTCACCTGGTTTCCTCGAAACCCTCGCCAATGCCTTCCTAACAGTCTGACGTAAATTTCGTCTGCGGGCCGCCGAACTTGGCCAGTAAGTTGGGCAATGCCGAGGGGCCAATAACTCCCTTTTGATGATTCTCATGATTCCCGAAGTACTTGATTCCCAGTGATTCATGTCCGCTTATATTCATTCCTTAGGGGTTTTAGTGGTAGAAAACGCTTATTTTGACTAATTTGTTTCAGTTCCACTAGTTTTCCGCTTAGTTAAAGCGATTTCTATTGATTTCGATTGATCTTTATCCTGATGATTCCTAGGCAGGTGTACACATGATATCCGGAGTTCTTGTCCCCTCGGGCAATGTAACGCGTGTTCTTCGCTGTCGCTGACCGGAGAAAACGCAAAAGTGTGGGCCAAGAAGTCGACCAAGTCTGACTAGCTCGAAAACTTCCACACTGAAAAACCAAGTGTACAACTACTAAACACACACTTGTATTGCAAGCACTTGCAAGTGCACAACTTCGGAGTTGCAATAATGCTAGGAGTTGGCGACACCTGATACTATAAGCAAACCGGCCCGACAGCATTGCCTGCATTGGCGGCATGCAGTGCAGTGCGCCGTAGGCAGCCCCTCGAACCCTCGGGATCCGGCAGACCTCGCCCGTAATCGATCACCCTGACCCTTCGTACCCAGGTCTCGCACACTGAATTTTTATTAACTTTTTTGTACACACTTACGTACTTCCCGGCATATCCCTGTACATGCTCTATTATACTATTTTAAACGCAGCAACATTGTTCAAATAACTGCAAATATAATTTCAAAACTTGTTCATAATAGTGCTGAAATAGAGCATGCACAGGGAAATGCGTAAGCTGCGTACAAAACGGTACAAAATAACAGTTCATGACAATTTAGCGCAATTTAGTGGGCAGGTCACGCCCCCGACGCTTCCCGAGGCCACTGCTACCTGCGCGACAACGTTGTTCCAAAAGCCTTTGTGATTTTAGCGAATATTAATAGGTCCGGATTTTAAAGGAGGAGTGTTTGAATCGACAGGGGACCACAAAACTATATTTGGTTCAGTCAGAAACCACGCCTGTCCAAAGAAACTTGGGTTTTAAGAAGTGGTCTTTTGAATCTGGCGGGCAGCGTACGATGGGCTGCCTACCTCGCAGGCGAACCGGTCCAAGAAAAACAGGCGTAACTCACTTAAAATGGCTCGCCAGCGCCAAATTTTGACGGAGATATTGAACGAGGATGCTGTCGGGCCAATCTTAACCATTCCCAGCGATTTTCAATTTTTTCATTTTTTGCAAAATTCACACTTTGTTTTTAGCGGAAATTGATGGGTCCTAGATCTCGACGGAGTAGGATCCGAATCGACAGGGTTGAACGAGGGAACCATGGAAATACTTTTGTCCGAGACGCGCACACGCGTGGCCACCGTCCAGAGGATGAACGCCGCGACGCAGGAGCAGGTGAGGTGTCGGAGAGCTCCCCGGAGATCGGCACCGGATGTCGAACAATCCTCGGGGAGTTCTCCGGGACGGTCCGGTGAGGCGCTGCTGTTGGGGCGGGCGGGCGAGGGCGGGCCGCCCGGTGCGCTGCCATGCTCGGCGGGCTTGCCTACCCCGCGCTCCACAGGCGGCCAGGAGGTGACGTGCCGGCGCCCCATGCCGCGCCGCGCCGTCTACTCGCGGCGACGGGGGCGCAAGCGCTCGGTGGACTCCAGGGAGGACAACGCCAACCTGCACGACAAGCTTCGCGTCGCGCTGATGATCAACTGGGGCGTGTCTTGCGTCGTCGCAGGTGCACAGAAAAGGGGTTTGCCATTTGGTGTATTTAGCATGGAAACTCGACGCACCTCTCCGAAAGTAATCTGACGAACTTCAACTTGCGATAATTAACTCCTTTGTTTCGTCAGGTGCTACCGTGCGGGCTGCCGCCGGTTCTAGACCGGCGACTCGAGTCCCGACTGAACGGACTGCACCGTCACCTGGCCTCATCCGGACCTCGAACGTACCGGGTGTCCGGGAGAATACGCCGGTAGCTCCATGGGTTGCCTACGCACTAGCGTGCAGGCGGGGGGACAGGGGGGGAGCGGAGGAGGTGGCGAGAGGCAACCGGCCGCCTACCGGCACCCCTTCCACTCCCCCCTTCAGTTGCACATTCGGGAAGTCCCACCGCGTGCAAAATTTGACACAGGTGCATTCTTGGTGCATTTTATGACCCCCTAAA